TTAAAATTCAGTATTTTGAAATTTTGAAAGTTGTTTATTAACTGTCAAGAACTATGGAGCACGAGCAAAAAATTTTTTTTCATACATAAAGTAAATGTTTGTGGAAAAATATAAAAAATTATTAATTAAAATTTTAAAAGAGTTTCATAGAAGTTAAAGATAATGAATAAACAGGTGCTTAGAACCTATGAGACACAGCAAACACAATCATAAGAGGGAAATTCATAGCAATTAGTGTTCACAAGACAAAGCAGAATGGTGGCAAATATCAACCTAACAACACAACTCAAGGAACTGGATAAACAACAAGAAAAAAAATTTTTCAAGAAAAAAGAAAGAAAGATTTAAGCAAACATAAATGAAATAGAGAATAAAAGAACTATACAGAAAATAAATGAAACCAGAAGCTGGTTCTTTGAGAAGATGAATAAAATTGATACACTGTAGCTAGGTTAATCAAGCAGATCAGAGAAAGGAACCAAATAAATCAACAAGGAAACAGGTGTTATTACAATGGGTATAACAAATACAAAATATCATCAGAAAATATTATAAGCAACTATATGCCAACAAACAAGAAAACCTAGATGAGATGGACACATTTCTAGACACGTACACCTTAACAAGATTGAACCAGGAAGAAATGGAAAGTCAGTGGACCCATAAGAAGCAATGAGATTGGGGACCAGCTGTTAGCGTAATGGCTATGTCGCTGGACTCCCACGTAGTCAACCGCGGTTCGAGTCCTGGACCCGGTGGCTTAAACTCACGCCAGGCGTGTGTGCATGCATTCCCAAGATCCCGAGAGGAGAATGGAGGAGAAGGGATTGCGGCATGCTCTCCCCCCCGGGGGGCGATTTCCTGCTTTCTGTCTCTCTGTCTCTCTGTCTGTCTGGCGAGCGCACGCGCCCTATAGCAAAACCCTCTCAAAAAAAAAAAAAAAAAGAAGCAATGAGATTGAATCAGTAATAGATGATTTCCCAACAAGATAGATGCCAGGTCCTGATGGCTTTACTTCTGAATTCTACAAAACTTTTAAAGAAGAACTAACTGCAATTCTCCTCAAACCATTACTAAAAAGTCAAAAGGAAGGGATGCTCCTAAATTCATTTTACAAAGCCTTTATCACCTTAATTCCAAAATCAGACAAGGACATGACCAAAACAAACAAAAAAACACACAACTTTAGGCCCATTTCTCTGATGAATATGGATGCAAAAACTCTCAACAAGATACTTGCAAACCCTACTTAATAACATATTAATAGGGTTGTACACCGTGACCAAGTAGGTTTTATTCCAGGGATACAAGGATGGTTCAACATATACAAAACCATGAATATAATACATTACATTAACAAAAGAAAGCTAACAATCATATGATCATATCAATTGATACAGAAAAAGCCTTAAGTAAAATACAACATCCCTTCATGATTAAAACTCTCAGCAAAATTGGCATAAAAGAGACATTTCTCAGCACAATAAAAGCCATCTATAACAAATTCATAGCAGACATCACACTGAATGGATAAAAGTTGAAAGTTTTTCCACTAAAAACTGGAACAAAACAAGGCTACCTACTTTCTCCACTTCTTTTTACTATAGTATTGGAAGTTACAGCTAATGCAGCCAGACAAGAGTTAATTAAAAGGCATCCAGATAGGAAAAGAAGTGAAATTATCTCTGAGGATGATATGATGCTATACATAGAAACCTAAAAAAAACACACACACACACACACACACACACACACACACACACACACACAAAGAAACAAACAAACAAACTCTTAGAAGTGATAAATGAATATAGTAAAGTGGCAGGATATGAAATCATCATACAAAAATCTATGGCATTTTTATACACCAAAAAAGGAAAAACTGAGACAGAATTGAAGAAAGCAATCCCATTTTCAATAGCCACAGAAAAAAATAAATAATAAACCTTACCAAAGACGTCAAAGAGCTCTACAAGGAAAATTATGAAACATTAAAAAAAGAAATTTAAATTGATACCAAAAAGTGGAAAAGCATCCCATGTTCACTGAAAGAACATAATCAAGATGTCAATTGCACCCAAAATAATCTGCAAATTCAATGCAATTCCAATCAAACTACCAGAGATATTCCTCACAGAAATAGAGAAAACAATCGTAAAATTTGTCTGAAAGCATAAAAGGCTCCCTATTGCCAAACCAATACTGCACAAGGGGATAAAGCAGGAGGCATCCCACTTCCTGACTTCAAAACATACTAAAAATTTCAACCAAAAATACTATATCTGGCAAGATTATCCTTCATATGGGAAGAAAAGCCCAAAATACTCTCAGATAAACAAAACTTGAAAGAATTTACCAACTCTAGACCAGTTCTTTAAGAATTTCTGAAGGGAGTGCTATACCAGGAAAACTGAAGGCAAACAGATGAAATTAAAGAACAAAAAATGACCAAGAAAAAATGGCCAACTGAATGGTAGCGACAAGTTTGGAAATATCAATAATACTGTTGAATGTTAATTTCCAGGATTTAAATGGAAAGATCAGACCACAGTAACACTGCACATTCAACAAGAGAGAGATTAATCTAATTACATGAGACAAAACTGGTGAAATATAATTCTAGGACTTTTGACTAAAACATTGATTTTCTTCTATCCTTTGTCTTCCAGATTTAAGGATTTTTGTTTTCTTTGGAGTCATTGATAGGTTCACAACTTGTTAAATTCTTTATGTTTAATTGAAACATAACTTTGTCTCTCTTCCTAACCCCTCTGCAATTGGAAAATATTTGTGAGCATTCTTATTTTGCCACAGAATGGGTATTTACATAAGTTCAATAATACAACAGTATTTATTGCCTTGCATCAGAAATTGAATTCTTATGGGGTTTTGTACAAATAACAGACCAATTTGAGACTAAACATTTTTTTTTTGCAAATAAGTTAGTTTATACCTCTCTTTAGTAAAAGAAAGAATGGAGAGGGAAAAATGTTTCAGAAGAAAATTACAGTGCACTTGTCACTAGATTTTAGATTTTAGCTTTGTCCATATTTTTTAGTGTAATTAAGATCTTTTGTGAAACAATAAAATGTGAAAAGAAAAAGGTTAGTATGGGAGAGACAGAGGGGAAAGGGGAAGAAAAAAAGTAAAAGTATGTTTAATTGGAAAAAAAAAAGAGAAGCTATTTGCTGATGATAATAAATTTAGTAGTATCTTTGTCTTGACTCGTTTGCATGGTATTTATACTGGAAAAAGAAATGTACACTGTGAAGATGTGATTAAATGTAAATAAAAATATAATAAATAAAAAAGAATTTGTTTCTTGCTGTTTTCCAGACTCAGTTTTCTGATGTAAAAATCTAACTCAATTTCTTGACTTGGATTTTAGAAATGTTTTCTTCTCAGTGAAAGAACCTTAGTGTTGACTAAGGCTGAAATAAGTGACCACTAAAGTCTTTCCTTCATTCAAGATATGGAATGTTTACTTTTACGGTTTTTTTCTTTTTTTAAGGTGTTTGCCATAAGGTGTGTGCACTTGTCAGGGAGAGACAGTAAGAGGGGAAAATGAGTAATCATACCCCACAAAGGAAGGATGGCCACACTGCAATCCCTTCTCTTTCATTTTACTCCTGGGATTTGGGACATGCATGTACATATGCCTGGTTTGATTTTCAAGTCACCAGGTCCTGGACTCCAGCTGTGGTTGGCCATGTGGAAGGCTAGCACCTTAACCACCAAGCCACCTGCTGACCCCCATACAAAGTGTGCTTTATCCAGTATGAATCCTTATACATGCCCCAAGTGTTGCTCTATGAATAAGGAATTTCTCATAATTTTTCACTGAATCGTTTCTCTAAAACTTTGTATTTCTCTAAAAGTTTTATTCTCTTTTCTATTTTAGGATCTGTTCTTTATTACTCTGCACACATGCACATGTGTCTACCCACACAAAACCTGGTGTTTCAGTGAATGATTGTTCAGTTACTAGAGGCTTAGGGGTTCTCTCAAGTAGAGTTTTCTCATGTTCATTAATAATAAATTTTACAAAGGCAATTCCATATTGATTACAGATTTAGGAGTTCCACCCTGTACAAGTCCTCAGTGTGTTAAAGGTTGAGAACTAGGGACCAGAAGATAGCGTTAATGATTATGTTGCTGGACTCCCTCGTAGTCGACCATGGTTTGAGTCCCAGACTCAGTGGCTTAAAACTCAACACGGTGTGTGTGTGTGTATGCCCAAAATCCCAAGTGAATGGAGGAGAAGGGATTGAAGCAATGTCCACCTCCCAGAGATGATTTCTTGCTTTGTCTCTCTGCCTATGTCTCTCCAGTGAGTGCAGGTGCCCTATAGCAAAAAAATCTCTCTTTAAAAAAAAGGCTGAGAACTGTTGTTGAAGACTTCTACATTCATGTTTTTTTGACTGACAGGCACTGACTGTATCTATGCTGGGTAGAAATAGGTTGTATACTGTAAACTGAGTGTGAAAAAAACAAATTCTTTTTCTTTAATATTTTTTATTTACATTTAATCACATAAATATTAAATAAATTAAAAACAATATATGTATTAGCAAACTACCAAATAAAAAGAAATAGGTAATTCATTTCATATTATTATGGGAGATGACTAAGTGGATATTTGCCACATAGAATTTATACAGATGGCTTCTCTTCTATATAAATTTCTGTATGTCAAAGAAGGAGTAAGGATGAGTGCTTACTGAAGGATCTTCCACATTGATTCTAGAGAATTTTTTTTGAGAGATTATTGCTATAGGGTGTGTGTACTCGCCAGAAAGATAGAGAGACAGAAAGCAAGAAATCACCCCCAAGAGGGATGACCATGCCACAATCCCTTCTTCTCCATTCTCCTCTCAGGATCTTGGCACACATGCACATCACCTGGCGTGAGTTTAAGCCACCGTATCCAGGACTCAAACCACAGTTGACTACATGGGAGTCCAGCGACATAGCCATTACACCAACTGCTGGTCCCCAGAGAATGTATCTACAATGTTTTTAAACTTTACAAATATATTGTTCACTCTTTCAAATTTATTACATGTATATTGCTAAGTCAACTTAGGTCAGAACATATTACTGAAAATATTTATTACTCTCTGAGTTTGCTCATGTAGTCTAAGGACATGTAGTCTACTGAAGATTTTTCCACACAGATGACTTCCATACAGTTTCTCTTCAGTGTGTGTTCCCTCATGTCATCTAAGGGAAAAAGAACTGCTGAAGTCTTTCCCACACACATATGACATTCATACAATCTCTCTCCAGTGTGTACTCTCTCATGCTAAGGGAAAAAGAACTACAGATAATGTTCATAAGGTCTCTCTCCAGTGTGCATTCTCATGTTGTGTTAAGGGAAAAAGAGCTGCAGGAGCATTGGTATGGTTTCTTTCCAGTGTGAGTTGGATTGTGTTTCATAAGGTAAGATCTGTGAGTAAAGGCTCACCCAAACAGATGACAATCATATGGTCTCTCTCCAGTGTGTTCTCTCATGCTAAGGAAAGAACTGATGCCTTTCCCACACAGATGACATTTGTATGGTTTCTTTCCAGTATGCATTCCCGCATGCTGTCTATATTTAGAAGATGTAATGAATGCTCTCCCACATAGGTGGCATGCATATGGTTTCTGTTCAGTAGGAGTTTAATTTGTGGTTTTTAAGGTTATGACTCTGAATGAAGTCTTTCCTACACAGCTGGCATATATATGGTTTCTCTCCAATGTGACTAAGATTGTGTTTTTTAAGGTTACCACTCTGAATAAAGGCTTTCTCACACAATGGCATTTATATTATCTCTCTCCAGTGTACATTATCTCATGTTGTATAAGGGAAGAACAATTCCTAAATGTTTTCCCAAACTGATGGCAGGTATATGGTCTATCTCCAGCATGAGTTCGACTGTGTTTTTTAAGGTGAGAGTTCTGAATAAAGGCCTTCCCACATAGGTAACATTTATATGGCCTCTCTCCAGTGTGTGTTCTCTCATGTTGTCTAAGGTCAGAAGGGTAACTGAATGCTTTCCCACATAGATGACATTCATGTGGCCTCTCTCTTGTGTGACTTCTCTCATGTTTTCTAAGGTAAGAAGAGTGACTAAAGTCTTTCCCACATAGATGACATTCATGTGGCCTGTCTTCTGTGTGACTTCTCTCATGTTTTCTAAGGGCAGAAGAGTAACAGAAGGCTTTCCCACATAGATGACATTCATGTGGCCTCTCTCCGTTGTGTGTTCTCTCATGTTGTCTAAGGTCAGAAGGGTAACTGAAGGCTTTCCCACATAGATGACATTCATGTGGCCTCTCTCTGGTGTGAATTCTCTCATGTCTTCTAAGGTAAGAAAGGTGACTGAAGGCCTTCCCACATAGATGACATTCATGTGGCCTCTCTCCGTTGTGTGTTCTCTCATGTTGTCTAAGGGAAGACGATTGACTGAAGGCCTTCCCACATTGATGACATTCATGTGGCCTCTCTCCGGTATGAATTCTCTCATGTCTTCTAAGGTAGGAAGAATGACTGAAGGCTTTCCCACATAGATGACATTCATATGGCCTCTCTCCAGTGTGCGTTCTCTCATGTTGTCTAAGGGAAGACGACTGACTGAAGGACTTCCCACATAGATGACATTCATAAGGCCTCTCTCCAGTGTGTGTTCTCTCATGTTGTCTAAGGGAAGAAAAGTGGCTGAAGGCTTTCTCACATAGATGACATTCATAAGGCCTCTCTCCAGTGTGTATTCTCTCATGTGCTCTAAGGGAATGAGGATATTTGAAGGCTTTCCCACATACATGACATACACATGATTTATTTCTAGTGTGTATTTGCTCATGTAGTTGAAGATTAATTGGTCGAATGAATGCATTACCACACAGATGGCACTCATATGACTTACTTGTTTCATTTTTGTCTTGATTAAAATATAAATAGTCATTAAAGGAGTTTCCACACTGTTTGTTGACAAAGGATTTCTTTGCTGTGTGAGTTAACACATTTTCACTCAATGCAGAGCTTTCAGTAACATTTTTTGCCAAATTATTCTGTTTAGATGGATTTTCTTGAGTAGGAGATTTCTGTATTTGTGAAGGAGATGAAATACTGTTACTGATTCTCACACATACATCCATACATGAATTCTTCTACATACAAATATAAGATTAATCACTGGTAATTTAAAATTGAAATAAAAACATTACTACTTGTATATACATGGTGTGCTATTTTTTTATGAGCCATAGAATTTCTCTTATGTAGCATCCCAACTGAAGGATACCAGAATAATTTTGAAGATTTCACTAGAGTAAAAGAGTAGGCAAATGAGTAATACTTATGCAATTGCCCGTTTTTTTAAACTTTTTAAAAATTATTTAATCTTATTACTGTCATAATCTTTTTATATTACATTGAATCACATGTATGTTTACAGCGTATTACATTTCTTTTTCTAGTGTGATTGCCATGCATATCAGTCAAGACAAAGATATTACTATCGACATCATCATCAAATAGGTTTTCATCATTTTTTCAGATTATTATTATTTACTCTCATTATTTTCTGAACATTCCATCACTATATATCACTTAGCTTGTATAAAGAATTTACCCAACATGAAATAGTTTTCAGACCAGTTCACTTGAGAATACTATACACCAGTCAAGAATACTATACATGTTATCAATGGGTAATAAACCATTTCTGTGTCCCACTAATATCATGCCTATTTTTTCTCTTGCTATCCTTCTCTATATCTTCACTTCTAGCCCCCTCCAGTTCCCCATTCCATACTGTCTTTAGCATCCATAACTATTTTCACTGTTTTTACACCCTCCAATATTTCAATCTCTACCATAAAGTGCAGATAGTCAATATATATTAAGTGGATACATACAATATCTTTCTATCATATCCTGGCTTGCTTCACTCAGCAAAAATCCTCCATATTTGACCACTTTCTATCAAATTTCAGGGTCTAGCTGTTTTTTATGGCTGAGCAGTATTTGTGCCACACTTTTTCCATCCATTCATCTGTTTGTAGACATTTGGCAATTGCTCATTGTGTGAAAGATCTCAGGTTATGGATTTGACCTCATGTTAGTATTTATAAATTCAAGCAACCCAAACCTTTGGCTTATAAAAAGCTTAGTTGTATTTAATTACATCAGACAATTGTGCTGAATCCCTAACATATCCCACTGTCAGATATCTATTGGATGACCAGGGTCCACATCCATGGACTTACCATTGACATGAGAGTGGGTGCAACCCCCCTGCTGATCTGTTGCGTGGGTATGATTTCTTGCAGTTTATATGAAATCCCCCTACCTATAAGAATAGCAAATAATATCAGTTAGCTCAGTATTAGGAAAACGAAGATAATGAAAAGAAAATAGGCCCAAGTGAATATATATATACATATATACATATATTTTTTTTATTTTTAGAGAGATTTTTTGTTATAGGGCACATGCACTCACTGGAGAGAGGGAGATAGAAACAGAGAAATAACCCCTTGGGGGATGGGCATGCCGCATACCCTTCTCCACCATTCTCTTCTCTAGATTTTGGGCACCCATGCACATATACCCAGTGTGAATTTTAAGCCACTGGGTCCAGACTTGAACCACGGTTGGCACACTGGAGTCCAGTGATGAAATAATCACACTATTTGCTGGTCCTGTGAATTTGATTTTTAAAGAACAGGTACTTAGAGACAAGCAGATGGCATGATGTCCCTAATCTCTCATGCAGTCAACCGTAGTTTGAGTCCCTGATATGGTGACTTAAACTTATGCTGGGCGTGTGCGTGTGTATGTTTGTGTGCATGCGCATGCATGCCCAATATACTGAAAGGGACTGGAGAACAGATTGTGGTATGGCCATTAACCTTGGCAGGTGATTTCTCGCTGTCTCTCTCTATTTTCTGGTGAGTATATATTTCCCACAGTAAAAATCTCTCTAAAAAATCACAAATAGGAACCAGCAGATGGCATAATGGTTATGTCATTAGACTACCAGAGTCGACTATGGTTCGAGTCCTGGACCCAGTGGCCTAAAACTCATGCAGGGCATGTATGCGTGTGTGCCCAAAATCCCAAGAGGAGAACAGAGGAGAAGGGACTATATCATGCGCATTCGCTCTGGGGAGTGATTTCTCCCTTCCTGTCTCTCTGGCAAGAACACAAGCCCTATAGGAAAAACCTCTCTCTAAAACAAATAAAAAACTGGCATTTAGGGCAGCCTGGGCTCACCCTGCCCACTTGCCAGGAGATTCAAGTCTGATCTAGACAGGCCTCCTTGGATGTGTCCTCATTTGGGACCTGAGACCAACCTTGAAACTCTTGCCACTCAGTTGTCCGCCACTATGGCAGCCTGGGCTCAATCCACCCTCCCACCAGGAGACTTGCATCTGCCTAGGCAGGTCTCATTGGGTGAATCCACACTCCAAAGTCCAACTTTGGAACCTTCGCCACTCTGTTGCCCGCCACTCTGTTGCCCACCACTCTGGCGTTGCCACCACTCCTGCGCTTCGCACAGCACATGTTGAGATCTTCACTAAGTAATATCTCCTTAGTTTGCTACCACCTAGTCAAGAGTTGAATGTTTGGTAAAGGAGTGAAGTACCTGAAGTTATGCTTAACTGCTCTGACCAAGGACACAGAGCCCTTCAATAAAAACACACCTGGAAACTAGGGTAAAATTAACTCTATCAAAACTATAGAATCTACTCAAATAAATACAAAAAAGGGAATACTGCTCAGATGACTAGAAACCAGCACAGATCTTGAAAAAACACTAAAAACAAGGTGGTAACTCTCCCCCAAGTGAACACAATAGCCTCTCACCAAAGAAATACACAGAAATGTCAGAAAAAGAATTCTGAATATACATAGTGACAAAACTCAATGAGATACAAGAGAAAACAATCAGTTCTAGGAAATGAGATAATCATTTCAGAACATGAAAGAATTTCGTAAAAAAACACACACCCAGGCTGCGACATGGAGGGGGAGGGGTGCGGAAGGGACACCGGAAGTAGCCTTGGTTGGGGTCCTACTGAGGGGTACTCACCTGAGCAGCTGCGCCAAGACCTGAGGGGATGGGCGTGGCTGCAGCTGAAGCTCAGCCCCCTCTGTCGCTGCCCTCCCCCAGCTGCCTTGAGCAAGCGCCTCCGCCCCAGGAAAACGAGAAGGAATGGCAATGAAGAAGACAACCATCTCCTTCCCCCCTTCCCCAGACCAAAAGGAGTAGTAGAAACCCTGTCTTTCAGGATTCCTGGGACACAGAGACAGTACCCGTAACGAAAAACAGTAAAGAAAACAGACTAAGGGGAAGCAAAGTGTTCTGCGAGTCTTCAAGCAGTGATAGTGGCGGGGGGAGCAGCAGCAGCAGCAGCATCAATAGCCCTTGACAGGGTCAGCAGGCCAGAAAGCAGCCTCAGCCAGATCATGGCGGGATCCAGTCCCAATACCCCTCAGCCCATGCCTGAGCAGTCTGCACTGTGCCAAGGCCCTTACTTCCACATCAACCACAATATCTAGTTTCCATGAAAAAAAAAAAAAAAAACCTTAAACTTTTTTTCCCAAATATAGTTTGAATCAGTCTTGAACTGAAATTAACTACCATACTACCTCTTAGTATGTAGATGATGTTTTGAAGGTTCTTTCTCCTTTGTTACAGGAGAACAATCAGATCCAATTAGACTGTGTTAAGCGAAGAACCCTTCTTGATAACAGACTCTATTCTTTGTTACGTAATTGTATTTAAAGGGTGAATGTCTTTCAGACTCTGGTATTCTCAAAAAAACTTCTGTATCGACATTCCTTCCCAGTCTGTACCTCAGACTTCAGTAGAAAACACTGCATAACTCTGAGAGGGAATATGACTTCTCATTCTACAGACTTGCTATTTCAGCAGCTTATAATAGCTCATTGATAATTCCACCCATGATGTTGACACTTGGACAGGTATTCATTTTACATACAGAGAAACTTCCAACAATCACTAGGGACACATTCCAACAGTGCAACTGGAAAGACAGGTGTGGCTTAGAAACAAAGGAACAGAAGCCCCCCAAGGAGAAAAAAATGTAGTGGTATTTATTGGATAGAAATAGCTATGTTCCCACATTATTTAGTCATACTGGAGAGCCAGCCAAGTTTGAATAATGAAGGCACAGAAGTGTCATGTTCGTTGTTGACGAACTGTCTGAACAAGGAGCCTGGATGCGTGGGGTCATCTGCTCTGGAGAGTGCAGAAGGGGGGAGGAGGGGGAGGAGGGGACAAGGACACAACCCACAACCTGCCATTGGATGCCTTAGAGTTTACCTGAGTCCTCTACCTGCTGACATCACTCCACATAGCACACAAGCAGCTCTGAGAAGAACGGAGACCTCTAGTAAAGAAGACTCTGCTATTTGTCAAGATTTGGGAAAGACATAGGGAACAGTGAGATTTTATTGTGCAACAGAACTAAATTTGAAAATGAAGACTATCCTAGGAAAAGGGTAAACATATGCACCTCCTTTCCTCAGTCTCTTCGTCTAATAGGAATAGAATTCACAGGCCAGTTACTTGAAGTGGAATCAGAGTGCTATGGGGCAGTTACAGCAAAGCCCATGCTTAAGGAGCAGGTGTTTTTGGGGTTTTTTTGCTTTTTTAATTTTTTTTAATTTGCTAGGATGTGTGTGGTATATGCATTCCCCAGACAGAGGAAGGGAGAGTGAGAAAGAACCCAACATGGAGCACAGTCATGTCACAAATCCTTCTCCATTTCTCACTCCTTTGGGGACACATGCTCAGAATGTTAAGTGGCCAGGTCTGGGACTGGAAGCATGCAGTGGACCAAGTGGGAGCCAGCCGCCTTAACCACCATGTCATTGAGGCATGCAACTATGTGAGATTTTTTTGTTTTTAGATACCGTCTCCCAAATCTTAAAACCAGATGTTTGAGGGAACCAGCAGTTAGCGTAATGGCTATGTCGCTGGACTTCCACGTAGTCGACTGCAGTTCGTGTCCCGGACCCGGTGGCTTAAAACTCACACCGGGCGCATGTGCGTGCGTGCCCAAGATCCCGAGAGGAGAATGGAGGAGAAGAGATTGTGGCATGACCATACCCCTGGGGGGTGATTTCTCGCTTTCTGTCTCTATATCTCTCTCTATCTGTCTGGCGAGCACACACGCCCTATAGTGAAAAACCTCTCCAAAAAAAAAAAAAAAAAAAAAACAGATGTTTGAGAGGATTTTGGATCTGAAGGGGCCTGATGGCAGGTATTATGAAAATGATACATGTTAATATTTTGTCTTAACAATGAAGCAAACAACTAAATGCTGTAAGAAAAGCTGTTGGAGCTCTCAAACACACGTGTACACAACACAATTCAGAAATACCCAAGACGACTCCTAAAGGCTTAATAGATGGCATCCTACTGAAACAAAATATGTAATAAGAAGAAAATGTAAAACTCGAGGACGCAGACTTCCTTTTATTTCCCATCCAACTAAAGATATGGAAGATGAAACCCTCACCAGGACAGCCCAACTGTTCTACAAGTATCGTCAAGTGCTGGGTTGACAGTTAATTCTTTACCCTACTCAAGATAAAAAAAAAAAATCTCCATCCTGTCCTGAAGATTGTCTACAACCTCTCAGCCTGAGATCCATTTCTATTATGAGTCTACTTAGTGTCAATGGGCATCTTTTAAGACTTTTATTAGCTCAAGCTAGTTAAGCCTTGTACTTCTCTATTGTGCTGCCTTAAAAAGCAGCGTTAGTGTGGAAAAAAAAAAAAAAAAGAAACAGACACCCTACAAAAGAATCAAACAGAACTTCTAGAAATGAAGACTATAATACAAGAAATTAAAATCTCCCTAGAAAGCATTAACAGCAGATTGAACCCTGCAGAAGAAAGAATTCCTGATCATAAAGATAAAATCTCCAATATAGACCAAATCATGAAAAATTATGAAAAAACAACCAATAAAAATGAAGACAACATATGGAAAATTGTGGACAACATAATATGCCCAAATATACGTATAATAGGCATTCTAGGTGAAGAATTCAGCTAAAAGCACAAAAAATTGCTTTCATAAAATACTATCTGAGACCAGCAGATGACATGGTAGTTAAGTGCACTGGATTCTCACATGGCCGACTATGGTTCAATTCCCAAACTTGGCAGTTTCCTTTCTGGCTTTCCCATTCTCTCTCTTTCTCTCTCTCTCTCTGTCTGTTCAAGTAAAAAAAATTAAAATAATAATAACAAGTGAAATTAAATAATTTCTTTAAAATGGAGTCTTTCTTTTTTTATTTTTTTTTATTT